AGATGGGTTCGGCCAAGATGAAAAGGAGAAGGGGGAGAATGGTTAAGGTTTGGTGTTGTTTCTGGATTGTAGGGATTGAGGAGGATCATGGGTTTAAGGGCCTTCAAAATGGATCATATAGCTTAAACATAGGTCCTCGGCTTCCCCCGGGAGTGTAGGGTATAGGGCGAACCATGATGAGGCTGAGCCCAGATATATCAAATCACATGGTCAAGATCAACTCACAACTCGATCGAAAGGATGGAGATTCATGGTGGAGTAGTCAAAATTGTGTGATCAGCCACAACACTGCCTAAGCACAACAAGGGATCCACGTCTCAAACTACTAATGAAGAAAACAGACAGTTCTCTAAAACCGGAAGCAATCAAATCCATTTGCATACCTAATTGATTCTAATTAGTCACAGTTACCTAGAAGAGGTATATACTGTTTTGAAACTGTTAACAGAAAACAAGAAATGTCTATTAACTATGAAGCAGTAGTTTAAAATCCAAATACTGTAACATTTCATCCTTTGAGTTGTAGCCATAAGGAAAATTATATGGAGACAAGTCTCCAACTATGGATACTAAGTCTCTGATATGGCACGCATTTATTGGTTTATTTTCATGGCAACCACGTAGGTTTTAGGGCAGGCTACATGAAAGACTTAGTTTCCATAGCTGGAGAAATTACCACTCCATAGAATTTGATTGCCCACAACACACAAGCAATATGCTATTTTATCCTACATCAACAAGGAAGTAGAAAACCACTGCATTTGTCGGTCAATCTTATGTAAAACATAGTACAGGATTGCAACAAAGACTGTATAATATATGTGGGCAACAAGGAAGTAGAAAACCACTGCATTTATTGTACAATATACTATGAAGGGAAAACAATAAAATGAGAATGTATGGAACTACAAATGATAAAGTTATTTTCTGTGACTACGACTTCCATCCTTTTTTTTAACATCCTTTATTTATGGCTTTGAATGTAAGAAACCCCACCAGCTTTATTGAATAGCAATCAGCCTATCAGCAGATTTCACACCTTTTTTTTTCAATTCATCAACATTCCATTATATTTCGTCTTGTTTATCCCATATGCAGCTTATCAGAAAATAAGTTTCTATTATAAGTTCCGGGTTAGCAGGTCCATGAAAAAGAAATGCACGTTATTATACTTAATTAAAAGAGTATTTTCATCTTTATAGTGATTGGATTAGTTCATTCTTTTTGGAGTACATAAGTTTTGATAAGCTCTAATCCAAACTAGTTTTAAAATCATGAAGGTATGAGATAGCACATGGCTGCATTACCTGGCCATCGGCAGACGAAGTGACTATTTTACGATCATCAGAGAATGGCATGAACTTGGCTTGGAAGATATTATCGAAGTGGCCTGACATATATGATAATTTTGATGTATTTCTTGCCCAGTCCCACAAAATTACTTGTTTGTCATCAGAGCCAGACACCAGAATATCGCCGGTGGAGTTGAAACTGATTGTGTTAACACATCCCTGATGACCTTCTAATTCTCCACTCAGATCAAGTTGCTTCACCACAGTCTGCATCAATGGAAAAAACAGCAATAACCTAGTAAGGTTCCACAAGTGGTGAAGTGGGAACCATACCTAAAAAGGTAAAGGCTATTTACGGAAGGCCCTCGACTACAGAAAACAGAAAAGCAGGTTAAAACAATCAAATATTAGAAGACGAAAAGTAAACAACTATTAAATAAGGGAAGAGTAAAGAACACAACACAAATAACAAACCCTTATAAGGCATTCCTCTTTACCTAACTCGTCTAACCTAATCTTAACCTTCGGACTCCAAAGCCCTCTATTTAGGACATGTCCTTAGTGAGCTTCACAAACAACAAGTCTCCTAATCACCTAAACTCAAAAATAGGCTTACAATTTTGAGCCACTTCACCAAATCCATCATTTCTTCCAATGTTGAAAAAATTCCATTAGACACACTTACACATTATGATTGTCTAAAGCAATACACAGCAATCGAATCTTAATGTCATTAAATCAATACTTGATCCATAACTAGACTGACAAGTGACAACCCAGTGAGTGCAGTGCAGCATTTGTCAAAATAGAAGAAACATTTCAGCAAACAATTTAGCACAAGACATCATATCCCTGTAATATAAAACAATTAATGCTCTTATGTGAGTAAAGGGTTGCCAAACTCATCCAGGATTACTTCGAAATGATTCATAACAAGGTGAAGGTGAGCAAGGTGACCAAGAAAACTTCGAAATGATTCATAACATCGAACACTTAACAAAACTTGCGATCCAGAGCAAATTCAGTTCAGAAAAGGAAAACCTTCCAGGTTTTTTGATACAATTACCCCCAAAATATATAGCTTTTCAGCTTGATCAAGTAAAAGTACATAGCAGAAACACAATCGCAATCACGATTAGAGCAATTGCATAAATTCCAGAAAAAAGAGAGGAGCAGGATATGAAAATCAAGGGGTGAAAAGATGAACAACAGACCTCGGAAGCAGCGATTTGGCGAGAGAAAGCCCTGGAGACGGATAAACCGATCTCTCTCTTGGAAAATTCAATGAATTTATCATCTTTAGATTTAGAAGTAGAGATGCCAATTTTATCCGAATCCGACCTTTTCCGACCCGACCGATGTATATAATATCTGAATCCGACCGAAAAAATAAATATCCGAAACCGACCGAAAAAATAAATATCCGAAACCGACCCGAAGATTTTAAAACTGAACCCGACTTTTGTCGGGTCGGTTTTCGGTAATTAAATTTGACCGACCCGACCCGTACCCGACCAACCCGATAATTAACCCAAAATAAAAGGCTTTTTTAAAATATTAAAAAACCTTTTTCAATTAAAATTTAAAAGTCTTTGACTTACGGGAGTTACCAGTTACGGACTTGAAAAATATTTGTGAAAACTTGTTATATTTATGTGTGTTGTTTCTCTTGTGAAATATTTGTGAAAACTTGTTATACTTCCATGTTTTGGTTGTTATTTGGGACACATCTTTTTTAATATCTTAATTTTACGATGTCTTTGGACGTTCAAATGTTTTTATGTATTGGAATTCTAATTGATGGCTATAAACCACCGAGAGTATGAAATAATATAAGTTTTGGAGAGAGAGAATGCAAAGTAGGAGTATATTGATTTCAAAATTCGGGTCCATTACAATGAGGGGTGACACCCCTTTTATAGGGGGTAAAATAAGCTAAGTCAAAGCTCTCTAATCGATGCCCGTCGTCTAGCGGACATCACCTGTCCTTACGTCTTGTCCCTTTCATCTTATCGCTTTCACCAAGTCTTCGTTGAACGTCGCTTTCCGCACGTCGTTGTCGCGGGGTTCGGGCTCGGCTTGGATGGCCGAGCCGAGCAGGACGGACGAGCGGAGCGCAGAGCCGGGCAGGAGGGACGAGCGGAGCTCTGGGCCGGGCAGGAACGTCCAAGCCCGACACTTAGGAAATTTATGCTGATGTCAGCCCTAGGCTGGTGTGGGGTTATTCTCCATCAGAAGCCCCCCACTCTCCGGGTTCCTTGGCAGCTGGAAATGGAACGCGCGAGAGTAGAAACACTGTGGATGGGGTGGCGCATGGGCCCGCGTGTTGATCGGTGGACAAGTGGTGACGTTTCGCCTTCCCAAGCAAGGTGGCGGCCCATCATCCAAGCCATCAACCCAACGAAGACCCAGGCTCGCCTTGCATCGGCGAGTCCACCGGCCATTCCTTCATCGGTGGAGCTGCTTCACCTTCTTCCTACCCTCCGCCGTGCCCATGCAACTACTAGTGGAATTGCGGCAAGCGGTACTAAGATTATGCGTTTCTATGTTTTAACTCTTGTAAGGCGTGTGCGCCATGTATTTCCCCTTTTCCTCTTGAGGAGGA